CCAAAATTTACAAAACAGCCCAAAACGTAGCTACGTGAAATGAGCAGAGAGATTTTTCACTGCTTGAAACGTGAACGAGATATTTGTATTCAAACCATAATACCCAGCAAAAGTACGGCCTTTATGTTAACTCCCGCCTTAATTGATTAAGCTAAGATTTAAGTATTAAGAAGCTAAACTATCAAGAGGAGCTTTATCATAAATATGTGCAACTTTAAACAGACAAGGCAAATAAAAGCTAATGCAATACATTATATATTTAAAATGTTTACCTTGATGACATCTCTTCCGTGATATGGTCAAGGAAAGGAACGAACAAGGTCCGACGGTAATATTCTTCTGGGGAGTCATGAGGGGTGTTCTCTCTGTGTCGCTGTCTCGAGGCGATTCTTGGGACGCTCGGCTCGGTACCAAGGCCTGAGGCAAGGGATACTGCATTTGTATGCCATGCCTTAAATAGAGTGTCGGCATTGTTTCTCATTTGCCTTCTCTCTTTTTCCGTCTCCGCTATCATGTTGTACGCTTTGACGATGTCATTAGACTTCTTTTATTGAGAAGCAGAGGTTTAACCTGGTTATGAACTTTTTGTATTTAAGATTGGCTGTATTTATTTAGTATTTTTACAAGTTTTTGACGTTAGCTGTTTTGATTTAGGGGGTTTGATTTAGTGATTGTGTGGTTTTACAGTGAGAGCGTGGTATCAAGGGATACCTTGATCGTGGTTGGATTGCATGATTTCCTTTGTATCATGTCACTCTTACGGTACATCACGCAAGCTTGTGTCACGCAACATGGCCATGTGTTTAGCCTGCCGAGACGCGGTTGTTGCTGGGATACAAAATGGCGAAGAAATTATCAGCGGCCGAGAAAGTTTGCCTTTAGATTTTAAGCTGTGAAAACAAAACTCACCTGAATAGGGCAAGGCAAATACCTTCATGACAGGTGGGTTTTTGTATTTACTCAGTTAAAAACTACCAGCTCTCGAATCAACTTGGCAAAATGGTTCGAGCAAACGAAGGGTCATTAGAGGTCTCAGAGGAATCGATATCAAGTTAAGCTTAAGGTTCGATCTGTTGTTGATCTCACTGATCACTCTCAATTTTTCACGTTTCATGGCAATAAGAACATGTAAATTTACGGCAATCCTTGTCACTTTTGATAATTTTGAGTTATTGTGGAATATGTTGCGACGTTTTTTTGTATAAATGCGAAGGCGACCGTGTTTATTTTTGTAAAAATGTGTGCACGTAGATCAGATGTAAAATTATAAAGCTAAATATAGTTTTTACAGATATCGTAACTGAATAATCTTTTTTATCCTTCGGTAAGTTTGCCAGATAATATAAATTAAAGAGAGATGTAAGCCTTGCATACGGCAAACGTTAATGTGGACACATGCATAAAAGATATATGGACGCGCCAGCTGAAATCATAAAGACTCACAGGTCAAGACTTCGCTTATATAATAGTCAAACTAATTTAGAACGTGCTTGTTCTATACTCTGAGTGGCGCTGTATTATTTTGGGGACAACATGTACATCAGCTTAAGGTTATAAACAGCAACAGCCGCTTTTGACACTTTTCGCCTGTTGCAGTTAGGAGTGAATTAGGTCAAGTTCAATTAGTACAACTGTAATTTGCGGTGAGACGAAATTCACTTAGGCCCAGTTCAGACGCCGAACTTTTCATGAGCCGAACCAAATACATTGAGTTAAGTACATGAAAAGTTCGGCGTTTGAATCAATTAAGAACGGCTATTTGAATTTGGAACGGCCCAGCCGNCCGAACCTAATGCATAAATTATTATAACGTATTTTACTAGCAGTTTTTACTTTGCCTGGAAATCGCCGACATTTCGATGTGAGTTTGGAGTTCGGCGAATTGAGTTCGACGTCTGAATCGACAGGTGTACTTTTGATAATTTGGGTCGGTCCAAATTCGAATTAAGTTCGGCTCATGAAAAGTTCGGCGTCTGAACTGGGCCTTAGGCGCAAGGCAATTTTTGCTGCACTAGAAGGTCAACTGAATGATTCATTTTTTTAAACGATATATTGTTTAAATATAATAATTTCCTTTCATCTTTCGCTGAAAGTGTTTAACTCAATTTTCTAAATGTGTGAACTGATCTTACGAGGTGTATTTTAAATTCTCTCACGACAGGTAGATGGCGAACGACGGTTCCAAGTATTGTGAAGATTATCTATTAAGGAAGGAAGGTCGTAGTAAGGTGAGCAATATCGGAAAACATTTCTTTATCTTCTGTGTTATTTTCAGAGAAAATCGTTTCCATGACTAGTTATCATAATCATTGCGGTTTCATAATCATTGCGGTTTCGAAGAATCGTGACAACTGATTAGCGATGCACAGAATTAAAATTAAGTTCATCAAGCATAAGTAATTTTCGTTTTGTTTTAAGGCAGTGTACCATTACCTAACCGCTGAAAATTTGCGTGTATTGAATTTAATTCGCTGGGAAAACCTCCAACGGACGCAGAAGGAAAACTGCGTCCTTTCGAGACAGCAGTGTTAAGCGACACTCTGTCATCAATTGCAACTACATCTGATGTTCGTGACAGCAGAAGTTTATCACCAAGTCAATTAGTAATGTGCTATAGTTGACAGGCTTGAGCTACAGGCAAACTCATTCAAATTTTGTTGCAATTACATGTAAGAGTCAGAAGCCAAATGAAGTTTTAATGTGCTAAATGAAGTTCACTATCAAAACAACTCATATTTTAGAGTATTTCCTTGTCTGTGTTTAATTTTAAGCAGACAAGATAACGTTTCTTATCGAAAGAAGCGGAAATACCGAGCTTCGAGTTCAGCTGTTCTGTTCTGTGAATGCGGCAGGTTTTTTTTGCAGGGTGCAGGGTGCNGACGTCTGAATCGACAGGTGTACTTTTGATAATTTGGGTCGGTCCAAATTCGAATTAAGTTCGGCTCATGAAAAGTTCGGCGTCTGAACTGGGCCTCAGACAACAAACTATGAAATAAACTACTACGGAAAAAGAAACTGTCTTTCAGCAAAGTTTTAGTTGTAACATATTCAAGTGGTTTGAGCTCGGACTCTCAACATGGTCTCCATACCAAGGTGTAAAAATCGATAGAATGGGGTATTGTTAGTTTAACTTGACAATATGCTAGAAGGAAATCTGTAATAGACTAGCTAGGCTAGTATACCTGTGCATTAACCCGTGAATGTCCTGTCTTTTCTTTCTGTGTTAGAGCCGTCCACCAGTGAGGTGTGTTCCGTGGAGTCATTCCGAGCTGCTCTTGGTACTTCATGCTCTGGAGCAATTGCTGTTATAAATGCAATAGGTAAATATATAGATTATAATTGTACTACTACAACCAAAATACATCGAAATGGGGGAAATAAAGTATTGCGTTTTGCGTTTTGCGATTTTTGAAACAGTCGCCAAGCAACGTGACGGTTACCATCTCCTGGCACGCTAGTGTTAGTTTTTGTTTTTGATTGGTTTATAAGAATTGCAACCGCTTTGTGTGCCATTTGCGAAGATTTGCAGGGCAAAGCCGCCCTTTTTCTCCTATTACACCATTCAAGAGGAGATAGTCTTAACAGTGAAAGTTAGATAAATCGGTGGGTCGATCCCTATACTACCCTATAGCTATTCAAACAAAAATTGCAGTGAAAGGAGTTTAAGAACTCGTAGTGCAAACGTTTATTCAGTTTTTTGGGTGGTCGTTTTAAGTTTTTTTGCCACAATGATAAAAAGGTGCACGATCCTAGCGCGCAGTTTTTGATAGAGAAGTTCCAATGATATAACGTATTTCAGTGGCGCTAGGAGAATGATGTGTTTGCTTTGCGACGCGTATGGCACAATAAATCAGAGTAAAGCTGTTTGATTTTAACCAATTAGAACAACCCCCCGAGGGGTACTCCCTACTATGGGCTGTGTAGGTATGTGCGACCCCAAAGGGTATGGTTTTCAGCCGTTTTGGTCATAAATAGGGTTTCGATTTTGGCCATTTTGGTCTTGAATAGTGTATGGTTTTTGCACTCTAGTCTTGAATACGGTATGTTTTGAAGAAGAAGCTACTTTTTCATTACTATCGATAAGACCATCAACAAAAGCCC